TTTTTTTTTTTTTTTTTTTTTTGAGAAGGGTCTGTTGCTATGTAGTTCAGGTTGGCCTTGAACTCATTGTGTAGCCTAGGCTGTCCTCAAATGCCTAGTTGTTCTCTGTCCTTTTGTGGTGCCCATATTGGGGCTGTCCTTGCAGGCAGATGACCATAAGTGCTAGATACCCCTCCCAAGCAGTGGGCCAGTGTGAGGCTGGTGAGCACAGGTGCCAAGATGAAAGAGTGGACACTTTGGCCATTCTTCCCTAGTCTCCACCTTCTCAGGCCTAGCCTAAGCCTCGGTGCCTAGATCAACCATAGAGATCATCTAAAAGCAAAATTAGGTCATGTCACTGGCCCAAGGAAGCATAAATGACCCCCTCTCATTTTGGGGAGTGAGAATGCTTACCAGGTTGGTTTCCTGTTTCTGTCTTGGATGTACACGTTAACATCCAGATTTGGCATTCATTGTTATTTTCTGCTCTCCATCTGTTCTCCACCTCCCTCCACCTGTTCCCCATCCTAGCTGCTTTCTGTACCTACCTGGCAGTGCCTCCCTATCCTTAGCACTTACTTCTTTTCCTAGAAAGTGTTGAATATGTGCACATTTAACTGCTTAGGTGACATCAGGAACAAAAAGACAAAATTTTGAGGGCTCGGGATTTAGCTCAGTGGTTCTGCTGCCTGCCTTGAAAGCACAAGGACCCAAGTTCAATGCCCGGTACCAAAAAAAAAAAAAGAGACAGAGACAGAATCTTTGCTCTGTGGAGATTACATGCTCTAGCGAGATAAGGAGAGAAAGGCCTTAAACACAAAAGGAAATTACAACCAGGTGCGGTGGAGCATGAGTGTGCCTGTGATCCTAGCACTCAGGAGGCTGAGGCAGGAGGATGACTGAGAGTTCAAGGCTGGCCTGAACTACATAGTGAGACCCTGTCTAAAAAAATAAATTACAGAAAGTGTTAGATGATACAGAATGTGTTAGATCTGGTGGGGTGACTGTAACTGAGGTGATCAGGGTGGGCCTTGGTAAGAAGCAACCCTGGAGCCAAGGGAAGAAGGGGCCAAGGGCTGAGCCACTCTGATGCACGTGGGAGGAGAGCTCTAGGCAAGGGAAGGCCTGGAGCACAAGACTGCTCCAGGCTCCCCTGGCTCAAGAGATAAAGAAGGTAATTAGAACTCTCTCCAGCCTGCACAAGGCTTCAGAGGACATTGTATACCTTTGACTTTGAACCCAGGAAATCTTTTTTCTCCTTGGTCCTAGGGATTAAGCCCGGGTCCTTACACATGCTAGGCAACCACTCTAACACTGAGCTATGCCCCAGCCCTTGGATTTATTTTAGGGTAAAGCTGGCAGGATTTGCTGATAGACTGGATGTGGGGTGCAAGGGAAACAGAAGTATGAAGGATGGTACCCAGGAATTTGGCCCAAGTACCTGAACAGAGAGGGGTAAGGAAAAAATCAGAGGCCCGCTTGAAATACATGGGTCTAGAGGTGCCTCTTAGGCCACCAATTCCCAGGTGGGTGGAGGAGGACTGGCAGAGAATTGGCCAAAGCCTTGTTTGTCTCAGCCCATCCAGGGCCAGGGCCAGAGGGTGAGAGTGCAAGGAGGAATGTTGGGTGTGGGGTTCGATGGCCTAGCCTTGGAGAGGAGAGCAGCCCCAGGGCAGGGGAGTCAGGTGCCAAGAGAATGATCAGACAGGAAGGAGTGGTGCTTGGTTGGCTGGGTGGGAAGCTAGAGTGGGAGTGTTTGACAGTGATAAGGTCTAGAGTATGCCCATGGGAATGAGTCTGAGACGGTGGGACGTGGTCATACAGGCAGGAGGGGAAGTTACGGAAGGCAGAAGGCCCACTCAGGTCCCTGCACTGACAGACAGCAGTAGTGGTGACGAACAGGGCAGAGAATAGAACCAATGCTGCACACAAATTAGGGGCATGACTTGGGGGCAGAGGAGACTAAAGCTTATGCTAGGTGTGCAAGAGGCTGCTATAAACCAGAGGTGGGAGGAGGGAGAGAGAACATCTGCTATAGCAAGGAACTGTTGTTCAGCTGTAAAATCACAAGAAGGCTGCAGGGAGAAAATAACCACTATTGGTAGGCACAGCTCAGGATTGCTGTTTTAAAATGTTTATATTTTGCTGCCTATAATCCCAGCACTGGGGAGGCTGAGGCAGGAGGATTGAATTCAGGGCCAGCCTGGGCTACATAGCTTTTTGTTTTGTTTTGTTTCGATTTCGTACCCAGGATTGAACTTGGGACCTTGCGCTTTTGAGGCAGGCAGCGGAACCTCTAAGCTAAATCTCCAGTCCTAACCTGGGCTACATAGTGAGTTCAAGGCCAACTTGAACTACATAGCAAGACCCTGTCTCAAAAAACCAGCAAAAACAAAATATTTTAATTTTTTGGTGGTGTTGTTAGAGTTGGAACCCAGGGCTCACGTATATGGCTATACTGCTGAGCTGCAGCTCCTGCTGTACCAGAGATCAAACTCAGGACCAGGCACAGTGCTACTGAGCTAAATCCCCCACCCAAGGATTTCTTAAGTGTTTTCAGGGTCTTAAAAGCCAGTGATTTCCTATAAAATATCTGCAAGTAAAACATTCCTTGTTTAATGGCCAAGTGAAGTTCCTGGGACTAGATCATTAAATGAATTGGTTGCTAAATGTAGAATTTTATACAGTATGTACATTACAATATTCAGAACCAAAAAATGGTCAAAGGAAACTCCAACTTAATGACTTTGCTTTTGTTTGATAACTTTATGTGTAATATTGTAATGTATAACAGAATATAAAACTACATTACTGTACAGTACAAACAGCAAAGATTACAGAACCCTATAAACAAGGTGTACCATACTCCTCCCACCAAAAAAAAAGATGTTGAAAAGCAGGGTGTGGTGGCAAATACCTATAATCCCAACCTTGGTAGGCTGAGGCAGGAGAATTGGGAGTTTGAGGCCAGATTAGGCTATATAGTGAGTTCAAGCCATCCTGAACTACACAGTTGAACCCTGTCTCTAAATAAATAAATCAGTAAATAGGGCTGGGGATGTAGCTCAGCAGCACTGTGCCTGCTTTGCAAGCACAAGGTCATCAGATACCAAAAAACAAAACAAGGGCTGGGGATTTAGCTCAGTGGTTAGGCTGCCTGCCTTGCAAGTGCAAGGACCTGAGTTGGATCCCTGGTACCAAAAACAGACAAACAAACAAACAAATAACACTGGGGCTCTATAAACAAGATGTGTAGAACCATACAAAAAAAAAAAAAAAAAAAAAAAAAAGAAAAACCCAAAA